TCATGAATTGATTGTAGATTGTCGATTGAGGTTAAGTCATTGTAATTGAAATTGCTGCAATATTCATCGGTATTTTGAAAAATGGGATTTTAAGTATTGGATAAACCCACGCTTAAAGATTACTTCATATATTCAATCACAAGTAATTCTAAGACGATAATACCTTATATTCTTAAACCATAGATATATAGTTCAAATTTTATAGATCAGTTATGCATTGGTTTGCTCAAACACATCTCGTAACTGGATGTTATAAAGGGTTATTGCATGTGTGATTTGACATGTAAATTGTATGACTATATAGTCATTGTAATTCGTTCCTTTTGCCTGAATAATGAGAAGCGATATTTGTGGGCCCCTAGTAGATTTGAGTTGATCTATGAAAAACCAGGCACCTAGTCTAAACTAAATTGATGCGTTTAATTTTGTAGTACAAAATTCGATCACAAATTAGGAAATTGGGAAACAGAACAAATGAACATGAGGTTGATCATTTAATTCATGACTCATTTCATACGATATCTTGTAGAACGAAGGAATATCTTATCACTTATCTCAGGGCCAATGTTTCATTTGAATCAGAGTTCGACAGTGGCTTTGGAAAGAACTCTTTGCGGTTTAATTCAAGGTTTATACTTGCAATTGTAGTTCCACACTTATCCAAATGGGAGACTGTTAGATTAAGGTGTCTAAGACAATAATGAAATTGGTATGTTCTTGACTTAAAAGAAAAGTCATTTTTAGGTTGCCCTCAAAACTAATATTTAGATAGAATGACTTTTAGAGGAAGAGGCTGATTTGTTAATTTATTATATGATTTATAAATTAATTAGAAATTGAAATAAATGATTTATTAATATATTTAATGATTAATATATTAATTGGAAAGTGAAATAATTAATCTGAAATTAAACAGAAATGAATTGGAATTAATTTCGGGATTAATTGGATTAATTAAAAGTGTAAGGATTAAAGTTGTATTTATTCAATAGTTGAACAAGAAGGTATTCCATAACCTCCCAACCCCTTGAATGAAATTAAGGAGAGTTTTAGGGTTTTTGGATTAATATTCCTTATGCATATTAGGAAACTACATAATTCCGGATTTGAAATAGTATTATTTTATTTCAAATTAGGGTTTTCCTATCAGCTGTAAATAAGGTCCGTTGGCATCATATTTCATACACAAAAGATACGCTCTGAAGAGCCGAAACTCTCCTCTAGCCTCCTCTCTCCCCAAGTCTTCTTGCTACTAGGGTTTTGGGTACAAACCATTAGAGACATTAGATTTCTGGTGCTTGCTTTTCTAAGGCATTTGAATAAAGGAATTGGTGTGATTATTTGCTACAATAATCAAAAAGGTATGTAACCCTAGATCTATATGAATTTCGATTTCTATAGCTTTCTCTTAGGGTTTTTTAATATTCATAGTTTATTCTTATCAATAGAGAAAACATAGATCCTTTCTAAGTTGCATGTGAACTTAAGGGTTTAAGTGTTTTTCCGCCACATGAAATTTTTTTGTAATCTAGAAAACCCACCACAACGGTCATCTTATAAGTCATTTTCGTATACATCTTTTATAGTGTCACTTCATGAATGAGATATAATCTTGATTTGACTAACTTAGTATTTTACATATAGTATCATAACTCATATATATATATA